GAGAGAGAGAGAGAGAGAGAGAGAGAGAGAGAGAGAGAGAGAGAGAGTGTGTTTGTGTGTGTGTGTGAGAGAGAGAGAGAGGGGTGGACCCCACTGGCCGGCGGCTGGAAACTGGTGTTGGCCACAAAAAAAGGCCGACCGTGGTTGGCAAAAACTTGACGCATTTTGAAGGGTCTGTGGTAAACTTGACGCATTTTGAAGGGACCCCACCACAGACCGATAGTTTCGGCACTGGAAAAGGTATGGCATACCCGAATAGGAAACCGCCGAAGGGTGTTTCCCGAAAAGGCAAGTCAGGCAGGTGCTGTGGACCATGGCCTGGTACCGCACTGCTCCAGGACAAGTCCGTGTGTGGCCTTGGGAATACCGTGCGACACGACGGGAAAATACGAATGTCCGCCACGGCCTCCGGGTACACAGAACGGTCCACGGCGAGGGTGCATGGTCCACGCCGTGAAGCCCTCGTCTGGAAACTGATGGACATGCCCCCCCCCTGCTCAACTGGCCGCCTCCTTGGAAAGGGTCTGGAAACCAGTCAGCGTCGAATTTCCAGACCGCGGACCATGTAGAAACGCCCCGTCAGTGGGGTCTGGAATTCCTTTCCGAGCCGGCTTTCCACACCGGTTTCCAGACCCAGTGGGGTCTGGAAAACACCCCCACGCCCAAACTTTTCCAGGCCGCCGGCCAGTGGGGTCCACACCAGAGAGAGAGAGCCCTGCAGCATGCAGCTTGTCAGTGACCGGGAACACAAGGGCAGGTGGGAAAAAAAAGGGAAATGTTCTATTTGAATACAAGAGTTTTTTGTTTTTTTTTTAATTCACATAGGAAACATGTGTTGTATGGAATACAACGCATGTGCATTCTATTCCAAGTGCGCCCTTTCAAATTTTTATGAGTTCGGCGAACCTGGGTGCGGTGGGGCGCTGCGGCTGGGCAGCTGCGCTGTTTGCTGCTAATTTTGGCCGCTCCGAACCGCCGGCGGCTGAGGAAGACGGAAATTTACGCGGGTACCAGCTATGTCCAGAGAGGACCCAGTCAAGGCAGCCTACCGTTTTCTACCTGTTATTATGTTAGAGATGGGTGAGAAATCCTAAGTGGTGAAGACTACTACAGGCCTGCCCCTTATTTCCTGGTCAACCCGAATTAGGGTTGTCGTCCTCATCAAGCGGTCAATGGTGGGAGACTTCATAGCTGGTTGCATAGGATTGTTAGGAGAGGAGTGAAGTAGAAGTGAGTTGAGGGGAGGCACAAGAGAGAGGAGGATAGGGAAGCTAAGGTGTGAGTCTAAGGAGCCTAGGTCGGGAGAATGAAAGGAGGCGACATAACCGACGTAAGTGTAATTGGATGGATTGACGGAAGGGTTGGACGTAGGTGGCTGCCTGATGAGGGGACAGTAAAGAAATGGATTGAGTGCAGTTGTTGAGGGGGCGCTAATTTCCTTCGGAATAGTTTATTGATATAGTTAAGTAACAAGAAGGCGGTCGGACGTGATACATCCACTGTACAGAAAACGCATTACCTAAGACTGGGGTGAAGACTGCGAAGTCAAAGGGCAAAGAGTCCGGGTGATAGGGATAGGCTGCCTTAAGCGGTTCTTCGAATTTTATCCCCCACAGAGATGATGGAGGAAGATGGAGAAGGGAGGGAGGGAAATGGAAGAAACGATGAGGCAGGCAATTGGACAGTGCTATGATGAAGGCCTCTGTCATATAGTTCAAAATTTTGGTGAAGTGGTGATTGATAAGAAGGGAAAACGTTTCAAGGTGAATGAGGGGCTCGTTAGACACTCCTCGGGCGCGTAAAGTCCCCGAGGAATTGTTCGTTCCACCTATCCTCGGGAGTGCAGTCGGAAAAAAAACAGTGAAAACACTCCGAAGAAAATTCCTTGGGATCCGAGGATTCCCCAACCATTTCTTCCTTTTGCCCAAGCGTTTCACAGAGAGGAGAGGGCACATGGGTAGAGAGACATTACAACCGAGAATCTGGATCGTGGCGGCACCCTATTGGCTGGGTCTCAAGCACATTTGATTTTTGATATATTTTTTTTTTCTTTTCTATCATCGCTCGAAGGAAATGTCCTCGGGCAACGTTCCCGAGGACAGGTGGAATGAAGGGCCCAAATTTTCTTTTGAACCAAAATGAATTTTTCCTTTCGCTCCAGGATTTTAATAGGAGTGCCTAACGAGCCCCTGAGTCATACGATGCAATCAAGGAAACTTGGTTGAAAGAAAGGATCGTTATCTTCATCTTTCAAGATGAGGCGAGGGATCTCTAGAGGAGTGTCAAGGAGGATCTGGTGAGAGCCTATGAGGATGGCTGGTTTGCCAGCCACCTCTTCAATCCAGAAATTCGGCGAGGGAGGATAAAATTCGAAGGGCTGAACGTTTTATCGTACGTAGCGAAAGCAGTGGAGGTGGCGAATTGGTTAGTCCAAAAAGGATCGATTAAGCTTACTTTGGCCGACAAAGAGTACTCGGTGCTACGAAAGCCATGGATGACGAAGGCGGAAGTGAAGAAGTTCGATTAAGAGACGCGAAGGTGAACTTTTGGATTATTGCATTGAGAGTGTTGCGAGACGCTTTATGTTATCTTCCGTCAACAGTCGAGGGG